TGCTGCAGTGTGTGGCTCCGAAGGGCAGGGCCAGCTGCTTGTGTTGGGAGCTTGGTTGTTCCGTCCCCAGGCGGATGAGGCTCCCTGCCTGCTCACAGCTGGGTCCCACTGTGGGATGGGCTGAGACCTGACCAAACTCGGGGCATGCCAAGCCACACAGAACCTGCAGCTGGTGGAAGCTCCTGAGCCATGTCCGGGCACAGCAAGGGGCTGTTAACTGCAGCCTGCTCCAGGTGTGCTTCCTGGCCCCACTCTGGAAGGACGGGGCAGGGAGCTGCCTGTGCTGGCTCCTCAGCACCATGGGTGCCAGCAGGGCACTGGGGAAGACAAAGCAAGTCCAGTTTCTGGCCGTGAAGTCTGGGTTCCCTCCAGCCCTTGCTAGCCCTGGTCATGGCTGAATGCCACTGCACCCTGCCAGTGCTGTTCCAGATCTGGGCTGGACCCCACTGCCTCGAGTCCCTCAGTCTGAGCAGTAGGTGGGACTGGGCTCCCTGTGGGGCTGGTACTGCTCCTGGGAGCTGAGGAGAGGGGAAGCAGCATCCAGGGGTGGGGTTAAGCCCACGTGCCTTTCTTTCTCTGTTCAAGGCTTGAGCTTGTACTTGGCCCCATGGGTCAGAGCTAGTGAGAGCTCTGTGCATCCTGCCTGGTGAGTCCCAGGCAGTCCCTCTGGTGTTCAGGGTGAGTTGTGGCCCTGGGCATTGTGACAGTTTGTGACTGGGATGTCCAAACCCCTTTGCAATGGGTGACTCAGGAGCTGGGGATCCAGTCCTGGTTGTGCTGGGGCAGATTCGGCTGCGGGCTGGAGCCAAGTGGCGTTAGCCTGCGAGGCACGGCTGGGACCTGATGAGACAGCCATCCTGTTCCCCAGCGTCAGCAGCTCCACGCACCAAGTGCTCTGCCAAGATGCCTGCTTTCCAAAATAAGCTGCTTCTGGCAGCACTCAGCCAGGCTCTGGCTTCCAGCCCTGCTCCAGAGGGGGCCTGTAGCTGCCTCCCCCAACCTGTGCCTCCTGGCTGCCTCCCACCATGCCACGCAGCATCCTCCCTCCCTTCTCCCTGGCACCTGGCACTCCTGCCGATTCCATGGGCTTCGGTTGCCCTGGCCCCATCCCCAGGTTTCTTCCCGCTCTTTGCTTTTTTCACCAGCTAAGTGGGGCGAGAGATGGGCAAAGGGGCTGAGCTCCTCTGTGTCTGCAGCAGCTTCCAGGAGCGGGCAGCGGCCCTGCCAGGAAGGATGTTACTCATCCCTTAAACATCCCTTTCCCTGGCCGGTGGCCACGGGAGATGCTGCGGCCAGATGCGCCTGTGGCTGAGGGGCCTGAGGTGGCCCCGGCTCAGGGATGCGCTGGGGGACACCGAGGCCATGGCACCCTCGGGTGGGATGTTGGCAGCCCCTGCCCGAGCGCAGCCCACACCACGCAGGCCTCTCCTCCCCCTCAGCGGGGCGGGTCACGGAGGGGAAGTGGTGCCGGGGCCAGGACCCCCAGAGGCGGCAACTCAGCCCGGCACAGCCCGTGGGGGTTTGGAGGGGACCGCCGAGGTGGGGAGAGCAAGGCCGGTGTCCGGGCTCCCCGAGCCGCCCTGGCCCCGGGGGCACCGGCCGGGAGCGGGCTCCATCCCGTCCCACGGGGGCCCGGCCGGGGCGGCAGAGAGCAGTAGGAGCCCGGCGGAGCCGCCGAGCGGAGCCCTGGAGCCACGGCCGGAGGAGCCACGGCCGGAGGAGCCACCGGCCCCCGCAGCGCCGCCGCCCAAGTCCCGGTGTCGCCAACGCCGCCCGGCCCGGCCCATCCTGCCGGGACACCGCATGAAGCCAGGTGCTCCCTCCAGCCTCGCTTCTCCTCCTTCTTTTGCTCCTTCTCCTGTTCCTGCTCCTCCTCTTTCTCCTCCTGCTCCTCCTCCTCCTCCTCTGATTCCGCCAGCGCCGCCTCCCCCACTCCCTTTAATCGACGTTTCCGATGAAATATGCCCGGTGCCATGGATTCCTTTGATCTCACTAAGGGAAGAAGGGGGCTAAAGACGAAATTAAGTCACAGCAGGAGGAAAGGCGAAGGGTAAAGCGCTCCCGGGGGAGGGTGTTAAATGTCGCCTCTTTCTTATCAGAGCACCAGGCAAGAGCCTATCCTCGCTCGTGCCCGTCCCGGCGCCCTGGTCACCTGAACTTGGCGTTGACCGGGGATGCCCTTCGGCAGAACAGGCGCAGGGGTGGTATCACCGGAGCCCTCCCCGCCGGGGAGCCCCGGCCCCACTCGAGCCGCGCTGGCATGTGGGAGCTGGCAGCCGAGCCCGGGGAAGCAGCCAGGGGGTACGAGCAGCAGTTTGTTTTCTGCTGCTTGCCAGGGTCCATGCAGAGCTCTGGCGCTGCCAGGGATGTGCTCTCGGGAAGCACTTGGCTGCTGAGCCCTGGCCCTGTGGGTTAGCTAGCTCTTCCCCACTGGCCCTGGCTCCTGCTCAGGGGCAGGCCTGACCCACAGCTGAGGGTGAATCAGGTGTTTCTGGGTCCTGTTCTTCTGCACTCCTGCCATAGCGTTCCTACCAAACCAGAGCTGCGCTGCCAGGCCTCCCATGACTGCAGATCTCTCCCGGTCACAGCAGAGAGTTGGCAGCCTGAGAACTGGCTGCTGGACACGCGATAACCCACAGGTAGAAGCAGGTTTGGCTCTGTCAAACCCAAGCCTCTCCCCTCCCTGCTCTGCCTTTGCCAGGATGGACAGTGTGGGCAGCTGGTGCTGATGGATGGTGCTGCCAGAGCCCTGGTACCGGGGATGGGATAGAGTGACTGCCGGCGAGGATGAGAGACATGGCAGTGGCAGGGCAGGGGGGTCTGCCAGCAGCCTCATTTCTTTCCTCATCAGTTCTGGAATAGCGCTTGCCCAGCCGTGCTGCCATCGTGCCCTCATGGTGGTGGCCCTGCAGCCAGGGAGGGCAGCCCAGCATCACCTTGAGCACAATGTCCCACCAGGCACAAGCCTGTCACTGGTCCCACACCCCACATGCCTGAGGCCTCCCTAAGTACAGTGTGTGGGGACTGATGCAGGGGGGCTACCCCTGGGGCAGAGTGGCTCAGCAGGATCCCACCAGGGCCCTCTCTGGGGTCATTTTTCTCTTCTGCTCCCTTGGCCTGTCCACCCAGCCAGCCCTTCACGTGTCTGGGGCTCTGGTCTTCTCGCTGTGTCCCCTGCCAGTGCTGCTGGGAACTGGCATCACCGCCGCTGCTGTGAGGATGAGTCTGTCCCACGGGTCAAACCATTGCTGCCTTTGGACGGTGATAGGAGCAAGGATGAAGCTGTGGTGAGAAGGAAAGGGCTGGCCTGTTCCTGGATTAAGGTTAAAGAGGGGGAGAGGCAGACAGACACCTCACAGCTGCTGCTCCTCAAATGTTTTATTTCCTGCTCAGTGTAAGCCTGGATTGACCTGCAACAGCAGAAAATGTTGAGCAACCATCGATCTCCCTGAAAGGAGTAAAGCCACCAGAAAAACCATGAGAAACCCCAAGTGGGTTGTATGGACCCCGGCCTGCTGGCTGGAAACAGAGAGCTCTGGGAGGACGATGACAGCGCTGGTGGGGGTGAGGGGGCTGGTGTAGGGCTACTGGGAGGGGGCATGGGGATCTCTTTCCCAGTCCAAGTATCTGCTTATCCCACGGGCGATGGACCCTCGAAGCAGCACCCCACGGGGCTGGGGGTGACGGCAGGAAGCTGGGTGCTGGCAGATTCCTTTGCTGGAGCTGAGGGACAGGGCCGGTCCAGGAGCCCTTCCCAGGCCACGCCAGCGCTGTCGGGCAGAGGGATGCTGCCGCTTCCCACTGTCACACAGGGAATCACAGGGAATTCCCGGTGAGGCGGGACCTGCAGCCGGGGGAGGGGTGGGGGTGGTGTCGAGTTCGTTTATTTTCCTAATTAAAAATAACAAAGACGAGGGAGGGAGGGAGGGAGGGGCGGGACGGGACACGACGACTTCTCGTATTCAGTGTTTATCAGCAACAGCCCCGAAGCCGAGCGATGCTGCCCGGGGCGGCAGGCGCAGGGGCTCCGGTGGAAACTCGCGGCTCCATGGTGCGGGCAAAACTGCTGTGGCGAAGCGGGGCCGGGAAGGGGCCGGGCCGTGCCCCGAGACCCCCCGGCCCCGCACGGGTTAAACCCCCGTCCCCGCACGGGTTAAACCCCCGCTCCCGCCGCGCCGCCCCCTCAGTGGCTGCTCGGCCTCCCCTGATTGACACCTTCCGCGGCGGCTGGGCCCGGCCGGCCAATGGGAAGGCAGCTCCGCGCGCCCCACGTGGGGGCGGCCGTTCCCGCTGTGCTCCTATTGGCTGGCGGCCGAGGCGATTGCCCGCACGGGCCAGGCCCCACGTGGAGCTGGCGCTCGCGCTCGTTCATTGATCGCGCTCCGCAGAGCGGCGGCCGCGCGGGCGGGGCGGGGCGGGGCGGGGGCTCGGCCCGGCTCGGCTCGGCTCGGCTGCGCTCGGCTGGACTCGGCTCGGCCCGGCTCGGCTCTGCTGTGCTCGGCTCTACCGGGCTCGGCTCGGTTCGGCCCGGCCCGGCCCGCCCCGCTCCGCTGCAGGGGCGCACGCCCGGGGCCGGGGCCGGGTCTGGGACCCGCAGCGCGGTGAGTCCCGTCTCGTCCCATCCCGTCCCGTCCCGACGGTCCGGTCCAGTCTGGTCTGGATAGGTTTCCGCCGGCCGCGGTCCAGCCCCGCTTGGGGCTGGGGCGGTGGCGAGGCCGGTGCCGCCCCGCGGCCGTACCTGCGGCGGGCGGCGGCGGGGCCATTGTCTGCGCGGCGCGGGGGGCCAGGGCTGGGCGGGTCCCGCGGCGCCCGCAGCGAGCCCCTGGGCCCCCGGTCCCCGCGGGGATGTGGGGAGCGCGGTGCGGGGCTCTCGGGTCGCGGCGGGGCTGCGGAGGGGCCGGGGCCCCGGGGCTCCGCTCTGGTGCGGCTCCCGCAGGGCCCCGCGCCTCCAGGCAGCGCCGAGCGCTGACCCTCGGTTTCTTCCCCAGGGCCTGATCCGGAGCTGGGAGCCGTCTCCAGGCCCCGTCCCGAGCCTGAGGCGGGGCCCGCGCGGCCGGAGGATCCCGAGCCTGTCCGGTGCCAAGGATGTTCCCGCAGAACCGGCCCCCGGTGAGCCCGCGCACGGCCTCGTCCCTTCGCAGCGGTGCCACCTCGGCCCTTGCAGGGCCTGTGCCCCCAGACCCAGCTCGGTGCCGACAGCATGTGATGCTCGGGAGTGGTGCTGTGGCTCTTCCCAAAGCGCTGAGTCCCAGTGCTGGGGGTTTGGGCTTTGTGAGAAGCGGGATCTGCCAGGGCGTGATGGTCGGACAGTGATGGGTGGGCAGGAAGCTCAGCTGTGTGGCACTCGGGCGAGGACAGGCCACTGGCTCCAGGCCACTGGGTCCACGCCATGCTTGGTGCCACCCGTGGTCATTAATCTGCTGGCTGAGTGGCCAAGCTGATGCTCAAAAGGCCCTTGGTGCCCGGCTGTAACCACTTTCCTCTCCAGTAACTCGTTCTGCCACCTCCTGCACGTGCTGCTCTCCCAGATGTTCCCATGGCCTCTTCTTTGGGTGCAGGAAACCCCTGGGGGGATGCACCAGTCTCACTGGGGGCAGCAGTGACCCTGAGGGTCCCATCCTCTGCCTAGGCCCATCTCCAGGCACCCTCTGCTGCTTCGGGAGCTGCTGTCGCTGCCAGTGCCATCCCCAGCACCCCCCAGTCCCTCAAACTGACTTACCCAGAGACCTTGGACCGCATCAAGGAGGAATTCCAGTTCCTGCAGAACCAATACCACAGGTGAGAAGCTGCCAGAGTTCACATGCCAGCAGGGAGGAGCTGGGCACTTCACTGGTGCTGATAAGCAATGGGCTCCCACTGGCGCTGGGCATCGGGCGGGCAGCACCATTCTGTGCCACTGTGGGCGCTGGTCCATCCAGAGGATGGCTGTGCCAACCACCACCTTGGTAGCTTAAAATGACACTCAGGGGGAAACTCAGCCTTTGCCTGCCAAAAGCCCCAGGATGAGGTGCTGGCCTCCAGCGCCCGGCTCCTGGACTGAGCCAGAGCCATCACTTAGCAGACCTGGAGTCCCTCTTATCCCTGAGGCTGCTGTCCCGGATCACCTCCCCTTCCTCACACCGTGTGGGGCAGAACAAGGTTTGAAATGCAGCTTGGCTTTGCAGTTCGCTCCATTTGGGAAGCAGATGCTGGGGAGGGGGTTAAGAGTCCATGCAAATTGTTCCCTGATGCCCAGATCCCTTTGCTGTCCATCTCATCTTTATCAGCCCCTTCCCACCCTCTTTCAGGTGGTTTTCTTGGCTTGTGCTGAGAGATTGGATTGAAGCTGAGAGCAGGAGGCTGAAGCATGTGGTGCACTGGGAGGGCTCAATGCTCTGTCCAGCCAGGGAGATCCTGTCAGTGGGGGGACCAGGGGGGTCGTTCCCTCTCCCTTCCTCTCCTCTTTATTTTTACAGCTTGAAGTTAGAATGCGAAAAGCTGGCAACAGAAAAAACAGAAATCCAGCGTCATTATGTCATGGTTAGTGAGCTCCCACCTGAGTGGAGGAGGGCGGTGTGGGTCCTCTGAACCATCAAAGGTCACACAGCCCTGGGATGCTTTACTTTCCCCTTGCCTTTGGGTTGTGTGGCCAGGTCCTGAGATCTGATTCCTGTGGCTGTTATTGTCTGGTTTATCCTCAAAACAAGCCGTGGTGTTTGATCAGGACTTGCTCCCGCAGCTTGCAGTGGCAAAGCTGCTCCCGTTTGGGTTGTCCCCGTTCCCACAGGCAGTGAGCAGGAGCCCTGGTAGGACTGTGTCCATCCTGTGGGCTGCAGCCATGTGCCAGAGAGACCTCTGCTCCCAGGAGAGGAGCTGGGGACTGTGTTCTTGCCCTGGTCTGGCCACGCCATGGCCATTTGTGGCCAGGCTGACCTGGCGTGCTAGTGCTGGAGAGGACTTTCTAGTTATGAGTAACCCTGGTCTCCAGAGCCGTGCTGATGCTGCCTTCTCTCCCTCACAGTACTATGAGATGTCCTATGGCCTGAACATTGAGATGCACAAACAGGTGAGTCTGGGTGGGTCAGGAGTGTTGTCCAGCTCCTTGGTCCTGGCTCCCTGGCCCCACCTTGCTATCTGGGCCCTTTGGGCCATCCCTTCCACAAACAGCATGGGAGGTTGCTCCCCGCTATAGCCCAGGGAAGGCTGTGCTTGTGGGAAATGTGTCCCCTTCTCTGTGCTTTGGGAGCTTTGCGCTGCTCTTGGCTGCGTCCTTAGCTCTCTGCACCTGAGCTGCTGTTCGCTCGCTGGGTTCAGGGTGCCCTGGCTGGACTGTGATACTCTTGTTGTGTCGGGCAGAGAACAGTGGTGAAAGACTTGTGCTTGCATGGCTGCTCACACCAGGTGTGAGTGGTCATGTGGGAACTGTCACGGAGGAGACTGGCTTCCTCAGGGTGAAGGGGGCTGCAGGGTGATGAGTTCTGGCTTGCCACCTTTGCAACTGCCAGGTGCCCACTGGCCTGGGGGCAGCTCACCTGGGGACAAGGGCTGAGGAGCATCATAAGGTGGAAAGGAGTGTGTTGGGGTGTGGGTGCAGAGTGGGCTCCCTGGGGGCTCAGGGCTGCACATCCTCCTTCACTGCATCCCCATCACTCCCTTCTGCCTTCCCTCCCTCCCTCCCTTCCTCTCTTGCACTGAGCTCTGGGTCACCAGCTGCTCTGAGAGAGAAGATTTCGTCTCATCTATTTTTAAAGAGGCTGCGGAGGAGCCTGGCGAGGCGTGCTGCTGCCACGGCCACCTCCCTGCCCGCCCCGCGCCTGCTGATGCCAACTGTTGCACGGGAGCCTGCTCGGGCGGTCAGTGGAGCGTGTTCCCCCCGTCCGCGGCTTAGGGCAGGCTGTTGACCACTCTTGCTAGCTCTGTGCCTGGCAGGAGGGTGTTCTTCCTGCTCCTGGGTGCCCTCCCTGTGCCAGCATCCCTGCTGAAGAGGAGGTGTCGAAGCCACCCTGGCGAGGGGCGATGCCAAGGGTCCACCCGGCCCAGTGCCCCTCCCCAGAGGGCTGCAAGCTCCTCTCCTCTGGCTGCTGGTTCTCTCCCAGCCCTCGCAGGCTCGTGTTTTCTATCAGCCCCAGGTGCCGCTGGCTGCCAGCCAGCGAGCTGTCGGCACTTTTAACAAGGGCCCGTAAGTCTGCTCTGACAGCCAGCGGCCATTGTGTGAGAAACGGGAACTGCCAGCGCGGGAGCTGTGGGTTATCGCTGCCGGGGGGGGGTGAGATTGTGTCGCCATTTGTCCTCCCCTTCCCCCAAATCCGGCACTGCTCACAGGCACAGACAGGTCCTAAACACTCTTGGCTGTCCCGGAATCGAGCACTGACCCATGGCCGTGGCTGGAAGCTGGGTAGTGCCACGGTGCCCAGCCCAGCATCCCCAGGCAGTGCTGGCATCAGCAAAGGCCGAGGCGTGGGATTTTGCTCTGAGTTTGTTTGGAGGGAAATAGGGCTGGGGGCTGGCTGTGGTGGTGCAGCTGTCCAGGCAGCCACAGGCTTGGCAGGAGAGGATCAAGACAGGAATGAGCGTGAGACATTAATTTTTTATTGTTGCTTTGTTTTTGGCGTTGAAGGGGCCTGTAGCTTTTTATAAAACCACCTCCCTGAATCTGCCTGGACTAGGACTTGCTCACCACAAGCCAGAGAGGAGGTGATGGTGCTGGTGGCTGGGGGGGCTGCAAACAGCGTGATCGTTTTTCATGCTGAGAGCGTTAAAGTGCCAGTAAATTGCACATTAACGAGTGCGAGTGAATTGGAGGCAGCTCTCCCCAAGGAGCTGCTGCCCATCAGTGCATTAGGGAAGAGAATCCATCACTGCTGGCCTCGGGAGACAGCTAAATCTTTCCCAGAACTGCCGGCTGCCAAATCTCCTTGCTCCCCCCTCTTCCTTTCTTTTCTTTCTCTTTTTTCCTCCCTCAGAAGGGGAAGCGAGGGCAGGTGCCAGATTATTTGTATTCTATTCTCTGGGTCTGGCAAGAACGGGTTGGCAGCTGCTCTGGAGGGCGGCACAAGGTGTCCCTGGGTCTGTGTCCCCACACCAGCCGAGCAGTGCTGCGGCCCCTCACCCTGGCACTGCGGTGCCTGCACCAGCTGGGCATGGGAGACATGCCAACGTTCTGGTGGGGAGATCCAGGGGTCAGCTCCATCCCTGGCTGTTGGGGCCCTTCACCTTTTGGTCTCCTCCAGGGGCTGATAAGGGGGTCTGGATTCGACCCCCTCCTCTTAGCCCCGTGTTGGCCTGGTAGTGTTTTCATCTACCCCACCAGGGTGGGCAGGGAGCTCCTTAGAGCTTGGGGCAGCGTCTTACCTGGACTCCCATGCTAGGGGCATCCCCTTCCCTTCCAAGAGTGGAGGACACCTGGGTTTAGGGAGAGCTGCAGATCTCTGCCTCCTCTCCAGTCCTGGGTGGGGGGTCCCCAGCTCTGTGTGGCTGTCTCTGCTGGTGCCTCAAGCGGTGTCTGCTCTCTTGGCCATCGCCTGCTCGTACCAGAGACAGGGGCCTGTCCCTGCAGCCCCTGGGGCTTCTTCCCAGGGATGTGTCTGTGGGGCCAGGGATGGCTGAATGTCTGTGCTCTCCCCTCGCCCAAGCTGTGCAGCGTGGTGCCAGCAGGGGCCCTGGAAGCCGGCAGTGGGATGCCCCGGGAGTGTGGCACACCATGGCACAACGCCGCTCTCCCTCCCTATGCTGCGCTCGCCCTCTGTGCTCTTGATTGCCAGTGGCACTCAAGTGTAGCAGAAAAACAGCAGCTGTAAGTAGAGCACCTCTCCAGGGCTTCCTGCAGGCCAGGAGAGCGGCAGGTAGCGGTTGTGGTGCTGGCAGGAGGCTGCGTGGGGGGCAAGGATGAGCCTGCTGGGCCCTTGGCTGCAGGGCTGGGGGCTTGCTCGGGGGTGGCCTTCAATGGCGTGGGCCATGGGGCTTTATGTCCCTGGCAGAGAGGAAGTGGAAGTCGTCCTGGGGCTCCCAGGGTGGGGATGGAGGATACTGGTTTTTGGAAGGGGTATTGTTAGGAAGGAGAGTTGTTCTCTAGAAACATCCCCCAGGGTGTTTCTGCTCCTTGGTGCTGAGCAGTAGCCCTTGGGGCTGACTGCCAGTACCCTGAGGCTTGGGTGGCACCTGTGTAGCACCCATGGGGAGTGGGTTCTCCTGCAGCATTGGGGCCCCTCAGCATGGGGGATACTCTGCCCCTTGCCCTGATGGGCACTGCCTCTCTTCCACTTCCAGACAGAGATCGCCAAGCGGCTCAACGTGATCTGCGCTCAGCTCATCCCGTTCCTGTCTCAGGAGGTGGGTAAGCCATCGGGCCCCAGCCAGGTGTGCAGAGGTCCTTTGGGGCCCTGGGAGCCCTGGTCTCTGGGCCAGGCTGGAGAGCTGGCTTTGCCCCATTTGCTGAAGAAATGAGCCTGCCCCAGCTCTTCTCTTCTCTCCCTGCAGCACCAGCAGCAAGTGGTCCAGGCTGTGGAGCGTGCGAAGCAGGTGACTATGACCGACCTGAACGTGGCAATTGGGGTACGTCAACCCTCTGCCCACCCTTCCCGCCACTCCTGGGCCTGGGGTGCTGGGCTCTGCGACAATGGCACCTCCTGGGTTCCTGCTGTCCCTGGGCTGAAAACTCCTCCTGCCCGTGGCACGCCAGGCAACTGTGGCCCCTGCCCTGAGTGCCTTCTCCCACCCACGGCTGAGTCAGGGGGAGGAGAAGGGCAAACCAGGCTGGTTTGGGGGGCTGCCAGCAGTACTCAGGATGGAGGAGATGCAGCTGGGTGTGGAGGTGGTGGCTGGTGCATGTCCCTGTGTCCTGATGCCCTGTGGCCCAGGTGAAAGGGGAATTGCCACCATCCCCACTCCTTGGTTATTCCCATGAGAATGCAGCAGTACAGTGGTTTGGGTACTGGCAGGGTCCCCCATCTGTCCCAGTAGCTCCTGTCACAGGGTGGGGGGAGTCAGTGGGAGGGTGGTGGCCCTCACACTGTTGCTGGGGGCATCCTGGGTTCATGCCCTGCCCCTCCTCACCCAAGTCCTGTTGCTGACTGACCCAGGGCTGCCTCTTCCCCCCTGTGCCGAGCAGCTGTCCTGGCACAGCCCTTCGATTTCTCTCTCGTCTTGCTCCTCTCCAGCACCAGCTCCAGACGCAGCACCTCTCGCACCACACTCCCCCCATCCCGCTGACCCCCCACCCCTCTGGGTTGCAGCCCGCTGGCCTTGCTGGCATCAGCAGTGCCTCAGGGCTGCTGGCACTCTCAGGGGCACTGGGGGCCCAGGCCCAGCTCCTCACCAAGGATGACCGAGGAGTCCCTGACACGGAGCCCAGGGGTAAGTGTGGGGGAGCCAGGGCTGGGTGTGGTCGGATCTGAGTGAACCTGGGAACAGGTGGTGCAGGGCCCTGGAGCTGCCTCTGCTCCCCAGGATCTTCCTGCTTAGGCACTTCCCCAGGGTGGGGGCCAGGGATGGATGGGGGGCCGCTTGTCCATGCCTCAGGTGTGCTGATGGGGTGGGAGGGGCAGGGGGCTTAGCAGCCATGAGGGGTTTGTGTGGGGAACATCCCCCACTGAGCAGCACCTCCTGGAAGGGTGGTGAGATGGGCTGGTGGGGGGTCATCCCTGGTGGGGGCCCAGGACCACCCTGCTGCTGTCATGCTGGCCCAGCCCTGCTGTGAGCACCCCAGCACCCATGGGAGAAGCGGGTGACTTTCCTGGGGGGCTCTTGGTGGTGGCACAGCGTGTCCCCCCTTCCCTCCTCCTCCTGCTGCGCCTCTGCGTTGCCACAGCGACAGACCGAGACTCCGGCCCCGTAAGTGCTTTTTCCTTCTCTTGCATCATTCTGTGGTGGCACAGGCTCCAGTCGGGACATGGGGGCTGCGCTGGGGCCCTCTGTGCTCCAGGAGTCAGCCGCAGCCCCATGTTGGTGCTGCCTGTCCCAGGAGCCGGGCACAGCATCCCTGGCCGCTAACACTGCATCCCCCCGCCCCAGAGCTCCCTGGCACTGCCAAATGGGGAGCGGGCGCGAGCCATCGCCGAGTACCTGAGCGGCAGCAAGAAGAGGAAGGTGGAGGAGAAGGACTTCGTTACAGACTATGTGAGCCTGGGGCTGTGGGGGGCAGGGTGGCCCCATCCCTTCTTGCAGGGCAAAGAATGGAGCTGCCTCTGCCTCCGGTGCACTCCCAGGCAGGAGCGAGGGTGGCTGCAGCCCCTTTGTCTTCAAGTGTCCTCTGTGTTTCAGGGCAGCGACGCAGACAAAAGTGAGGACAACTTGGTGGTGGATGAGGTCAGTGCACCAGCTGGGAGGGGGCTGGGGTCAGTGTGTGCTGTCTGTCCCCAAGTTGGGGGCTAGTGGGCTGCTAGAGGCGGAGGTGGGCATCACAGGGGGGTGCCAGTGGTACCCCTGAGTCATGCTCCCTGGCCCTTACCAACGGCAGCAATGAGCCCCAAGATTCAGGCTCCCAGCCTGGCCCTTGTTCAAGCCACCAGCTCACCATAACCTGGGACGTCCCTGTGCTTCTGCCTGTTCTGCTGCCTGCTGATTTCCCTCTCCCACCCCCAGGACCCCTCTTCGCCGCACAGCGTCCACTCCTACTCGTCCCGGGAAAACGGGGTGGAGAAGGTCCCACTGGGGAGGAAGGAGGCCATGCCGCTCAGCCCAACCTCCATGGCCTCCTCCAGCAGCTCCCCATCTCGGAGCAAGGATGCACCCACGGTACGTGCACTGCCTGGGGCAGCTGGGGCGCTTCCCTCAGGGCCTGTGCTTGTGTCCCTGCTGCCCAGGTTCGGCTGACAGAGTGGCCCGACATGGGTCTACCTGTCTCCAAACCCATGGAGCAAAGGCAGTGCTGGAGGGACAGGACGGGGCTTCTGCTCTGTTAGATCCCAGCTCACGTCCTGTCCCACAGAGCCTGCAGTGCTGGCTGGGCTGGGCTGTCATTGAGGGGGAGGAACAGGGACCAGCTTGCGGGAGAGCACCCAAGGAGACCCCCTGGCAGGGTTGTGGTGCAGCTGTCAGATCCCTGTGCTGTTCCTGGCAGGTGGAGAAGGCAGGGACGCCCAGCCTGAAGTCCAGCACCCCCACTTCCCAGGGGGACACCACGGCCCCAGGCTCCGGCGGCGCCCAGCAGTTCCGCCCTGCTGCTGCCAAGGCCCCCATAGACCCCCTGGGTGAGCTTGGCCCCACTGGGGCCCGGGCGGGTGTCTCCAAGCACTGGCTCCCAAGCCCTGTCCCTTGACACTGCCTCTCCCTCATCAGCCCTGGGCCTGAGGAATCCACTGGGAGTGCAGAGTCCCTACTCGGCTGCCTTTGGCTTGGCCCACCCTGCAGTCAACGGGGATGTGGCTGGGACTGGCGCCTATGCCAGCCTCCACCTCATGTCCCCGCAGCTCAACGGGGCTGCAGCCGCCATGGGAGCCAGCAGCTACGGACGCTCGCCCCTGGTGCGTGACCTGCTCCCCGTGGGGCCGTGGGGGCCACGGAGTGTGAGCTACTCTCACCTGCTGTCCCCTCCAGGTGGGCTACGACCCACACCCCCACATGCGCATCCCAGGGCTGGTGGCCGGCATACAAGTGGGGACCTCGGGGAAGCCGTAAGTAGGGCCGGGCTGGGCTGTGCTGGGGCAGGGGATGAGGTAACCCATGGGGCTGAACCTGGGTGATGCAGACAAGCCAGGGCCAGCAGGGGTGGGGAGCTCAACTGGCATCACTGGGCATGCTCCGCTCGTGTCTCCAACTCCCAAAACGTGCTCCCTTTGTCAGACCCGCTGGGACCCACGTGGCACCGGCCACTGACCTTGCAGGATTCTCCTCTGGCTCTCACTGCTCTGCTCCATTCCAGTGCCTACTCCTTCCACGTCAGTGCCGACGGGCAGATGCAGCCGGTGCCTTTTCCACCTGACGCACTCATCGGCTCCGGCATCCCCCGCCACGCACGGCAGCTCCACACCCTGACCCACGGCGAGGTGGTCTGCGCCGTCACCATCAGCAACTCCACACGACACGTCTACACGGGGGGCAAGGGCTGCGTGAAGGTGTGGGACGTGGGGCAGCCGGGCACCAAGACAGCCGTGGCTCAGCTGGACTGCCTGGTAAGGAGGAGGAGGAGAAAGGCCTTTGGCAGGGGGCTGGGAAGGGGAATGTGCCCCTGTTGCAGTGGAAGGGACAGAGGGTCCTTTCACATCTGGGATGAGAAAAGGAAATCCGTCTCCTACACCCCCCAAACACTCATCAGCTCCTTCTTCACTTGCCCCGTTCCCTGTAACCTCAATTCAGAACCGTGACAACTACATCCGCTCCTGCAAACTGCTCCCGGACGGCCGGAGCCTGATTGTGGGGGGGGAGGCCAGCACCCTCTCCATCTGGGACCTGGCAGCCCCCACACCCCGCATCAAGGCTGAGCTCACCTCCTCTGCCCCCGCCTGCTACGCTCTGGCCATCAGCCCTGATGCCAAAGTCTGCTTCTCTTGCTGCAGCGATGGCAACATTGTGGTGTGGGACCTGCAGAACCAGACCCTGGTCAGGTGAGTCAGTCAGGGGGGAGCATGGGCAGAGCTGCTGGGGGCTCTTCAGGCCAGGGACCACCTGGTCCCCTGCAGCATGTCCCCACCTCTCCCTGTGTCTAACCCTGGCAATGGGACAGTGCCTGTCCTTGCAGCAGGGATCTCCTGCTCTCACTGCTGAGTGCTGCCCTGGCCACGTTCTGCGCTGCAGGCGCTGGCCAGCCTGACAGCCACGCTCTTGCCTTCTCCATCCCCCTCTTTCCCAGGCAGTTTCAAGGCCACACGGATGGTGCCAGCTGCATTGACATCTCCAATGATGGCACCAAGCTGTGGACAGGGGGGCTGGACAACACTGTGCGCTGCTGGGACCTGCGGGAGGGGCGGCAGCTGCAGCAGCACGACTTCAGCTCCCAGGTGGGGCTGGGGCCGTCTGGGAGCACCACAGGGCCAGATGGGACCTGCTGTGTCAATGTCTGACCCCGTCTCTCCCCTCAGATCTTCTCCCTGGGGTACTGCCCAACAGGAGAGTGGCTGGCGGTGGGGATGGAGAGCAGCAATGTGGAGATCCTGCACGTCACCAAACCTGACAAGTACCAGCTGCACCTCCATGAGAGCTGTGTCCTCTCCCTCAAATTCGCCTCCTGCGGTAGGCACGCCTCTCCTGGCCTTCCTTCTCTGGAGCCTCATGGATGCCACCTCTACTTCTGGCCTTGTGTCACAGGGCTCATTGCACTGGGGGCAAGGGTTGGTTCCAGTACTCAGCCTTGTCCCCAGTGGATGACAGTCATATCCGTCAGAGAATGGGCATCTGTCCTTCCTGGAGCAGCGCTGGCAGCTGCACGCTCAGCTCTGTTATCTCAGGACTCCCCTTTGTGTTCCTGAAAACAGCCCCTTGGCTCTTGGGTAGCAGAGACTTGGCTGCCATGTCCACACCCTGTGTTCCACAGCCTGGGCAGGATGTGCTGCTGGAATCCAGTTGCTGGGCCTGGTTTGGTGACACAAGGCTCCTTTGTCCCTCCACAGGGAAGTGGTTCGTGAGTACGGGGAAGGACAACCTGCTGAATGCCTGGCGGACGCCCTACGGAGCCAGCATCTTCCAGGTGTGGGGCGTGCAGGGCCAGTGGGGTTGGGGGTTCCTCTGGGTGTGACTGCCAAGAGCTGCCCAGTACAACCTGGCTGTAAATGTGTGTTAGCAATAATGAGCCCCATAAACAAACTCATCCCTGCAGCCTCCCCGGGTGCAACTCAAGGGTCAGAGTCCCAAGGAGTGGGGACTTGCTCTGGGCCTGCTTCTTGTGCTTACCACTGTTCTCTCCAGTCGAAGGAAACCTCCTCTGTCCTCAGCTGCGACGTCTCCACGGATGACCAGTTCATTGTGACTGGCTCGGGGGACAAGAAAGCTACAGTTTATGAGATCATTTATTGAGCACAAGAGGTGCCAACTGCGGGACAGGTGGACGTCCGTGTGGATGGACAGGTGGACTCTATCTGCCCTACTGCTGACTTCCCAAAGAACATGCAGCCTGTGGCCACAGCATCCCAGCTGGAGGAGAGCGGAGAGGGGTGAAGGTGGCCCTGGGACCGTGGCCAGGCATCGTGGGCTGCTTGGGGTGGATTTCCTGGGGACTTTCTCCTTGCTTTGTTCTTTGTCAGCTTCTTTCTAAATCTAGACTATGGGACTTGGAGGAGGGGGATTCATCTGGCATTGTTAGGGCTTTTGTTGGGGTGGTTTTTTAATTTTGTTTGGTTTTAACGGTTTGGGGGGGTGTATTTTGTTGGGGGTCTGGGTCTGCTGAGGCGGATGGGCTCTGGCCTCATTTCCCTCTGTGCCTGCCAGGGTATATTTAATAATAAAAACAAACCAAAAAAAGGCAGCTGTGCCTTGTCCTGGGCAGTGCTCCACGGTGGTGGGATGGAGCTAGGTAAGGATGGGTGAGACCAGGGCAGCAGCCTCATCCCCTTTGGCGACCACAATTTGCTGCTCCTTTCCTGTGCCAGGGCAGGTCCGTGGCAGCTCTGCTGTTGGCAGGGCCCAGCCCTGGTCCTGAGTGGGGTGGGGAGACCCAAGCACAGCTGGCGGTGCAGGCACAGACCTGAGCGTGGCGGTGGCTCCGGTTGTTGGAGCAGCTTCCGTGGGGCGTGGGGGAGATGCCAGTGGTGGAGGAAGTGGTTTTTGAAGGAAATGAGACGTGAGCAATCAGTGCTGCCTTATCAGCCTGGCCTCCCGCCAGCACTGCCGTGGGGAAGCAGGGCTGTTCCCCAGAGCCTTGGGCACTGGCAGTGGCCATGGCCAGGGCTGGCAGGGAAGCTCAGTGCTGCCAGCTGTGATGTGGCAGCTGCTTTGGTCTCCTGCTCTGAGCCCAGCCTTGAGCCACAGCTCACCACATCCAGCACAGAGCCAAGGCTGCTGCTGCAGCTGTGCCGGAGCTGGGGCTGGTGGCAGGTGGGCAGCCACAGCTCTGCCACAGTGGGAATGGCCTTGCCCATGCTGCTGGCCAAAAGCCCTGAGGCTACATTTCACAGCCCAACCCTCTCAGCAGGGTTGGGAGCACTGGCTGGCAAAGGCCCCTGCCCATGACCATACCAGCCCCTCTTTTGTTCCTTTTTATTAGTAAAGGATTGAAAACACAGTTAAATACATTTATTTACTGATAATTTACAGCTGTTTCTCCAGCAGAAAATGGGTCCCATTAAATCAGTAGCAGTAATTCAAGACATATCCAGGTGGCACTGGCCTTGATCAGCTCCCCATGCAGCCAGCCTGAAGTACAGACAGGTCCCAGGACACCCAGCCCAGCCCCTGCCCTGCCTTGGGGGATGCCAGCATCATGCAGGAACTGGGGCAGGAGAGTGAGGCCAGGGCCTTGGTTTGGTGTCTGAAAGCAAAGGAGGAGGAGGGAAAGCAGGGCTGTGGAATGGCAGGTCCAGCACTGGAGGCCTCTGTGAGCCCTGGTGGCTTTGGACAAGGACAGGCCCCTTCCTTGATGGAGGAGGGACGATGAGGGATGGAGCCCAGGGGGCACAACTCCTGGATGGAGCTGTACAGGAACTAGGCCATCCAGGGCCTGAAACCGTCTATTTTCCTCCTTTGTCCCTTACACGTCCCCATGGTGTGGAGCAGCTCCATATCCCCGCTTCCCCAATGGGTGCAAGCTCTGGGTCACCCCAAACTACCACAACTCTGTGACCCTGCAGTGCCCACCACCTGCACAAGGATCCACAGGGGCAGGACAGATCTGCTGCTCCCTCCTGCATGGAGGGCACCCCCATGCACAGCCTGGACCAGGGGGATGTCTGGGATGAATTGGCCTATCTGATCCCCACGGCTATTTCATCCCTTGCTTTTTTCTTGCCTCTCCTATTTCTTCCGCTTTTTCTGTCTGGGGATTTTGTCGACACCAGCAAGGAAAAAAAAAAATTAATAACAGAGGAAAGCTACGTGCTGTGCTGGCAGATTGCTCAGGGTGCTTTGTCTGCTCTAATCCGATTGTGTCAGGGAGCTGCTGCTCGCTGCTGCCCACAGCCCCCAGCTGGCTCCTGACCCAGGACGGGGGGGATGCCATTGCTTGGTCCCTGCAGTGGCTGGAAGGCCAAGGAGTAGCAGAAACATCCCTCCCCCTTCCCACATGCTGATGTGTCAATCTGAGCGCTGGACTGGTGCTTGGCAAGGAGGATGGGAAAAAAAAATTAAAAAAAAAATAAAAATCAATTGCTACGAGAAGCTCTGGGGAATCCTGGTGAGAATATTGCAGAGCCCACCCTCTGCACAGCAACACTTACACCCCTCCGGGGGCATGGACCTCTGCTCCCAGGGCTGGGGGCCCAGCCATAGGTTCAAACCCTCAGCACTGGCATCTCTGTGCCTACCTTGGGCTGCAGCAGACTGCTCACAAACACTCCTGGCCCCACTTTCCACCCCCAGCTTTGGCTGCCCACATGCCTCCCTACCGGACACCGGCCCTTTGGCCCGAGGGGTGTTGTGCTCCCGCTGGAGGTGGAGGAGGAGGAGGAGGTCGGGCTCTCGGGCATCTCCCCATGGAGTGGTCCCAGCCGGCTGCTGGGTGAGCAGCCAGGGCTACCGGGCTCTGAGGTGGGGTCCTGGGGGCAGAAAACGTCTGTGGGAAGCACAAACCCAGTCCCTCTGTGCAGGAAGGCAGGCGTGACAGAGACTCCGGGGAGCCAGCTGGGCCTGGAGCCTGCAGGGACCACCGAGCCCCAGTCTGCTCCCCCCACCCCTCGCTGTCCCATCTGCCTGAGCAGCCTGAATGAGGAGCATCCACTCACAGGCCTCTGTTCTGCTCCACAGTCCCCTGGAAAAGAAAATGCCTTGATTTTTCTCTTTGAACAAAATTAGAGGTGACAGCAGGTTCAGAAGACACTGGTGGTGGCCACGGATGCCTTTACAAGGAGGGATGGTGACCAGCACTTGAGGAACTGACACAGAGATGCCATTTCAGAGGCAAGGCTGCCCATCAGCTCTTGCACTCCTATAACTATTTAACCAGGTCTGTGATTTTTATCACCATAATTCCACCGAGTAGTTTTTGTAAGTGTTGTTTTCTGCAGAAATTCCTGCTGATATTCCTTTTAGGGCTTGTATTTTCTTAGGAAGTGGCAGGAGGAAAAAATACCTCACACATGTTGTCCCTTCCCCTTGTCTTCCAGAAAACGAGCAGGTATGTCCCTGAAAGCCTCATCTCTGCCAAGAATAGTTGTGGCTGGGATAAATTTTTGTCAGGCCTGCCCCAGCAGCCAGGGAAGGTTGTACCAGAAGTACAGGGCAGTTCCATTGCAAAGGACTAGAATTCAGTGTGCTCCCTGCACTGAGACACTGACACAGGTTGGTGTGGTAAAGTCGAGGCTGCTCGAAGGCCAGGCAGGGCATGAGGGGCACTGCAAAGCCCGGGGCTGGCAGGGCCAGGGTGTGTTGCCTGCTCCTGCCACCTCTACCCACTGGAGCTGCCAGCAGCAAGCCCAACTCCCTGGAGCTCTCATCCCAGCTTATCAGCCTCCCCATATGGGATGCTACAGGAGAGGGACTGAAAGGGGATTGTGAATCAGAGCCAATCTTGTGGCTGGCAAAGCTCAGCCCTGGCTGGCACAGCTTTCTACTCAGAGCAGTGGGAGTGGAATCAGTCTTGGCTGACATGAACACATCAGAGCAGGGCTGGCACATGTCCTGGCTGGATGCTGCTCCCAGCAGCAATGACCTGGAGCCTAAGGAACTCCAGAGCTTAGGAACCAGAGTCCTAAACTTGATGACTACAGCTTGAGCTGGATACCCTGCCAGGTTCCAAGTATAAGGGCCTACCTCATCCACCACGAGGTTGTAGTCGCTCTTGTCCCCATCACTATCCTGTAAGGAGGGAGAAATCCAGAAGGGCTCAGTCAGGACTGGGAGAGGTTGGACCAGGCTCTGCCCCAGGATCCCAGACAGCGTAAAGACCCATTTTCTCCTGCTCATCACTCCTCGTGGACCAACACCATGCCCTGCTGGCATCGACCCAGACCTCCGGCTGAGTGGCCTCCCCGAGGCTCTTCATTTACTTTGTTATTGCCCACAGGACACCATCTCCCTGCACCAGGGTAGGCACAAGGCTCCCCAGCCACTTCCCAGGACCAGCTCCCACAACCACACTCTTTAGTGCACTCACAGAATGCCCAGGCAGGTTCTTCTCCTCCCGCTTCCACTTCAGGCTCGTCCTCTCCTCATCCTGCAGGCACTCAGGAGGGGAACAAGAAATGCTCTGACACAGAGGGGGAGAGAAAGGCATGTCAGCCAGTGTCAGGGAAGACAGCCACTCCTCACCTCTCAGTGGGGCCAGGCCCTGCTCCATCACTGCCTCCACCCTGGCAAAGCATCTCCCTGGCTGGTGGGCAGGAGCCCAAAACCCCAAAGCCACGGGCTCCCCTTGGACCGAAAGCCTAAGATCAATGGCAACTGTTCCCCAATGAAGGAGCTCTTTAACCCTTTCTTCCCCTGCCTGTAACATGAACTGGAACTCTGGATATTGCAGAGCTGTAAGCTACTGTGGAGCCTGGGAATGGAGTCACAGATCTGGGACTGGGGAGATCGTAAAAGGGAGGGGGCAGCCAAGGACTGCAGAGGGGCTGGCAGCACCGGGCTTAGAAGGGAGACCTGTTCAGAGTGATTCTTAAACTGGAAACTCCTTGAAAAGGACAGAGCTGGTTATTTTGGGAGTAGCCCTTGATCTTTAGATTCTTGCATCAGCAAAGACTGAATTGAGGTGGCCCAGAACCTTCAGCTACAAAACACCGATACAAACACAACCCACTCAGGGCAGCAAAGTTTGCTCAGCACCCCCAGCCATTACCAGGAGCCAGGGACCAGCTTGGCTCCTGCCTGGCCCACACTGGAGATGCCAAAGGCCAGCTGAGGCTACCAGTCCATCACGACTTACCCGGCCTGGGGCACGTTCTGGAGCCAAGCAGCAGCAGGGAGAATATCCGGGCAGATCCGTGTCAGCAAGGCAGAGGGGAGGAGAGGAAGAGGCTGTTAATGCCAAGGCTGTGCCCCATATACTCAGGCAGGGAGGAGAGGGGGGGCACTGCAGGGTAACACAAGAAACAGCAGGACATGGGCTCACAAATCATACCTGATTTCCCACTTTGCCCACCTGAAGTGTGGATTCTCTGTTGTCTAATGGGAGATGAGCACATTGGTTTTCCTCAGGGAAGCAGGGAAATCTCTATCCACCCACCTACTTTCAAGAATTACCCCAGCTTTGGAATCTCTTCCCTAGATGTGGCAACAGGTCCAAAGCTGCCAGGAGGGGACAAGCCAACCAGCCAGCTGAGACCTCCTGAATCACACCCATCCTATTTCCTTAGGAAGCCATGCCTAAAACCCTTGTTTGGAAAGCATCCAAAGCTTCTGTACATGCATAGCAAAACAGGTCCACCTCCCTGAGCCCAGGGAAAATGTGCCAGGCATTTACTGCAAATCCAAGCAAAGGGTTGTGGCTGCGGTCTAGCAACCCTCCCTGGTTCACTCCTAGAAATCCACCAGCATTTTGGAAAGAACAAACTCGTTCAGGTCTCTGCTGGCAAAAAGAGTCAGGCAGGGATGGAGAGCTGAGGGACTCTTGTAGGCATTGCTCCAAGGCCATGGTCCAGGAGGGGGATTGGATGCTTGCCATCAGCCCCACACCCCTGCCTCAGCTCTGGCTAACTATGGCAGAGCACCAGGGATTAACCCCAGCCAGATGGAGCATTTCACCTTTTTTTGTTTTAAGGAATGGCTCTCACTAAGGCCAGACACCCAGGCTGAGAGAAGTTCTGGTTGGAGGCATGGGGCTATCCAGGCTTAGAGGGTTAAGCAGGCTCAGCACAGCACAGCCTGCTTTTATCCTCTCTCTGGAGTTTGTTTTTCTCCTTTGGGAAGCCATCCTTAAAGAAACAGGAACAGAATTCTGACTGCAGACAGCTGTGTGCAGGGGCACACAGCAACCACCGACAGTTTCCTGCTGCTGTTTTCACCACCTTGACATCTTAACAAGCCAAACCAGACCATTAGAAACTGCAGCAAACCCCACCCAGGGCCCAGCTTTGCTGCTGCTGTTGGGTCCTGTCCCAACTGCATTTCAGTCAGCACCTTTCCCAGGGAAATCTGCAGAGAAGCATCACTACAGCTGCTAAATTTGGCTGCCTGTTTCCAGCCCATAGAGATGCCTGGAGCCTCTGTTCTTGCCCCAGTCTCCCTCTCAGCACAACTACCCAATTCCTGCACTCTGCAAAAGGTGACTTGAGCTCAGAGCAGCCTCTCCTTTGTGCAGCACTTCAGTAGCAACAGGCCACAAGCAAAGCTGGGCAGCATTACTAATTTGGCCCAGTCCTGCAATAGCATTCAGAGCACTGATTTCATGATGATTAAATATTGATGACGTTTGTAAGGCACGTTGTGATCCTGACAGGAGGAGGCACCCATAAGGACTAGGAATTAATGCAATTTACATGGCACCACACATGCAGTAAGGCTCTGGTTTCTAAATTCCTTGCCCCAGACTTGTGGCCCTCATAGTTTCTACCACGGGCTTGCAACAGTAGTTTCCCTTGAAGTCTCAGCTTTGGGGATCAAATCTTTACTTGGTGTAAACCCTGGTGTAATTAGAGAAGGTTTCTTTGTGACGGGGATCTCACACCCTCCCCAGCTGCCTCATGGAGGGGGGGACCCTCATACACTGGAAACACCCAGGGGAGCAGGGAGATGTGTCCAGAGCCCTGCTGCCCAGTGTCAGGGGTGCAAACACAGCCACCCCCACCACTGCCACACACCATCACTGCATGGCAGCAGTTCCAAGGTCAAAAATGGAGCCAAACTCCTGGGTCTGCATGTATTTCATGAGCTGGACCTGCCATCCCTGGAGCTGCAGCAGCCAGGCACTGAGAAGCACTGAGAAAAGAGGCAGGGCAGGCAGCAGGGTGCCCAGCACTGACTCAGCCAGCATTTGAAAGGTTAATCCAGCTGTGCTTCTTCCCCTTACCTCTGTTCTCCCCATCCTGGGCCACTCTGTCTTCCTTGGTGGCCAGCTGAGCCTGTGCCATCAGTGCCCCCGAGACAGCCAGGAACCCCAAGGTGCTGCTGGCCCCGCTCAAGCTGGAAGGTTGCACGCTGGAGGGGTGGGGTGTCAGCAGGAGCGGGGATGCGTGGTGGGAGAGGTGCTGAAGCTGCTGCTGCTGAAAGAGAAAGAGCAGATGGTCCTGGATGTGGCAGAGCCAGCCACAGTCCTGCCCGGCACCCTCCCCTCCCGCACCGACTGCGACGCAAAGCGCAACAGGATGAGACGCCAGCAGAGACAAGGAGGTGAGTGGAGCTGTTGAGGCTGCACAGTCTGGGTCTCATCACTGCTTCTGCCACCCACGGAACCTCCAGTGCCTCCCTGCCACAAATGTGATCCCAACACATGGCAGAGCCCAAGCCATGGCTCTGCCCCGCTCTGCTCCAGGCAGCAGGGGCCAAGGGGATCCCAGAGGCCATCCACTGCTTTCAGGACACAGTGGCAAACCCTCTCACTGCAATGGACTCACCAAAGCAGCAAAATCCCTGACTTCTGCCATCACTGTGCTGCAGGGTCCAAACCCCCGGGGCAGGGAAGAGCCTTGGCCCACAGCTGGGCAGTGTGACTCACCCCAGCGATGCTGTTGAGCTCTCCCATGGTCACCTGCTTGGCCCATTCCACCGCCTGCAGGACCTGCTGCTGGTGCTGGGAAGGAAGAGCATGGGGGCAGTCACACTGTGCTCCCGGCCCGAGGGAGCAGCAGCCCTGTGTTGCCCCAGCCACCTGGGACTGCACAGTCCCTTCTCCCATCCCTCCAGCCCAGGTACGGAGATTTTCCTCCCCAAAACCTCCCATTTTTCAGGCTGGACTTTGACTCCTCCCTTCCCAAGGGCCTCCCTCAAGACAAGCCAGAGCAGTCCGATGCACATCCCCTGCCTCCTCACCTCCTGTGTCAGAAAGGGGATAATCTGGGCACAGATGGCACTCAGTCTCTTGACAATCTCTGCCTGAAAGAGGAAGCAGGTATCGCCTGGGATGGAGGGCTCTGAGCCCTATCCTGTCCCCTCCAGCAGAGGGGAGGGCAGCCAAGCATCCTGCAGACATTCAGGCGAAGTTAAACTCTCCCCACCCAAATCCTCTCAGTGGAAATTCTCCTGCTGCCTCTACATCCCTTCTGGGTCTTCCCGCTGCCAAGAGAAGACTCTGCCCAAAGCTGCTGGACCCCTCCAGGCTGCCAGGTCCCAGAGGCACGTGGGAGGGATCCCAACGCCCAAATCCCTCTGTGGACCCAGGCCAAGGCAAGCCCCAAGCTGTCACTCCTGTCACAGCCCAGCTGGCTTTGCTCAGCCCAAACCCAGGTTGGCTTTGGGGCTGCCACTGGCACAGGCAGTGGGCAGAGCTGAGCCGCAGATGCTGGCACTGGGCCACCCACACACTGCGCTGTCCCCGAGCGTCGGACTTAAAGCCAGGGCAGAGCAAGGGACGCAGAACTCCCACAGATTCAGCCCTCTCGGCATCGTGCCTGCAAACCCTGCAAGGAACTGGTGGTGGTACCTGCCCTGCCCAGAGCAGGGACCCCGCTCCCATCCCCATCAAGTCCTGGGCCAGCTCTCCCTGCTCCTTCCAAAGGGGGAGCAGAGGCACAGAACACCTCGGACCTGCCCCTGCCCAGCAGCGGCAACAAGGGAACGCAGAGAACCTGGTGCATCCTCTGAGGAGAGCCTGTGGTTACAGACAGACCCACAGCCCAGCCACGTCCCCACCAGGGTAAGCAGCACTTCTGAGCAAAGGGGCTGTGGCTTCCAGCCCAGCCTCTCCAAGAGAAAACCCATGTCTCCTGGGGAAAGCTCGATTTCCTCACTGCAAATCTACCCTGGCACTGGCGGAGGGACCGGCTGCTCTGAAGCATTTTTTCATCTCAGGTTTCTGATAATCCCCGACAGTGTTGCAGAGGTCAAACCACACTCACAGCCAACAGAGAACAAAGGGAACATTTACTTGCTGCACCCCGGGAGCACCCCCACACCCACCAGCGCCCTGCTCACCTGCAGGTCCCAGCTGCTGTCTCAGCCACTGCCACAACACCCACTCAGGACCTGGGAGTAAAGACGCCTCCCCTCCAGACGTCTCCTGCCCAGGTAGAGCCAGGAGCTGGACCCAGGTGGGTCAGGGCTCCTGCTTCTCAACCGCTTGGCCCTCACCTCTATTGCCTTGTGGGCAGAGCCACTGGCCCCATGTGGCACAGGCCACCCCTGGGTCCCAGTCCCATCCGTGGGTCCCAGTCCCACCAGATCTTGAAGCATGTGGGGATGGCAGGAATATGCTCCCTGCTACCAAAAGGAGCAAACTCAAGAGGGGCTGAGCCAGCTGGAGGAATATGGCAGTTGACTTGCCACTTTGTCAGGCATTGGTCCAAACTAATTTCCCTGGCAGAGAGCCCATGATGACTAGATTGATAAATCTGAAGAGGGAAAACAAATTAACACTGGAACAAAAGGGGAACCAAGGAAGGGTAAAAACACTCCTCTGACTTAGGGAAAGGAAAAGGAGATTAGGAAAAAAGAAAAGAAAGACAATCGATTTGCCCTTGGGCCCCAGCTTCTGCTGTTTCCTCCACATCCCTCCCTCAACTCAGGCCCCAGGGACCCTCTGCAGGAAGGTACCAGGGCTCACATGGAGGCTCTGAGTGGTGATTTGGGATGGTAGATCCCTGTCCCAAGGAACTCAACAGCACATGTCCTGACAATATCTGGACTCCTTTGCAAGCCAGTCCCTTGCAGAGAGCTGTGCCATGTCTCCCGTGCCATTACAGCTACACGGGGACGAGGAAGGTAATTTTCCAGTGAAGTCTCCAACCTTGGCCTCTTCCCCACCATCTCCTGCTGCTGGCACAGACCCCACTCACTCACCTGCTTGTGCATTTCCATGTTCAGGCCATAGGACATCTCATAGTACTGAGGGAAAACCACAACACAGCCTGATTAGGAGCTGCCCAGAGCAACTGGACGATGACCAGCCAGGGCTCTGGCTGCCAGTCCTGCTCCCCCTGGCCAAGCTCCCCTTTTGGTGCTCCCTCCAGCCCATGAGGAATGGTTGTCCCACACACCACAGGCCAAGACCCCATGCCACGAGCCTGGGACAAGGTAGGGAGCAGCCACAGACTGCTGACATCTGTGATGATTGCTCTGCAATTTCTGCACTAATTTAAGCCAGAGGAAGCCAATCCCTCTGCCCTCCACATCCCGTCCTGGCTTGGCCTGTCTCACCCCTAAGTCAGACTCACACCCTGATGCAGCTGCCCACCCACCCCTGTGGGTGTCATGCCTGTGCAGAGCAAAGATGACAGCGAGTTAGGCCCTTCACCAGTCACCAATGACTCTGCCAGTGGTGCTGGCAGCCGACCCCATCCCCTCACACCTGGGGAGAAAAAAAAGAACCAGAGGACCTGCATTCCTCCAGCAAAGCCTGTTCCAAAGGAAGTAGTCTGCCTCTGGGAATCCCTAAGCCTCCAGGATGTGGGGAGGGATCCCAGCTGGTGGATGAGAAGAACATGCCCTGTGATGTTGACACCCCTGGCCTCACGGACAGGGCTGTCTTCACCCCAGGGATGGGGGTTCCCCAAGTTCACATCTTCTTGTCTCTTGGATGGAGTAATTTGGGTTCCCCCTTTCCCTAGAGGGACCAAGAGTGTCAGATGCTAAAGGAGAGCGAATGCTGTTCCTGTTCTGCTGTCCCCATTTTCTTTCCTTCATCCCAGCAGCTCCCCTGTTCCTGCCAGGCTCTGTCTGGCAACTGTGGAGGCTCCTGCTCCTTCCCTTTCACCTAAAACACCAGCCTTAGGATATCAGTTCTGAAACACCCACCCCTTGGGAGAGAGACAGGGAGGAGTGGGGAGCTCTCTTAAAAGGTCAATTAGAAAGAGGGGGGAAAAAAAGAAAATAAAAGAAACAAAACCTATGACAGGATTCCTGGGCTCTAGCAGTACTGAACATGCAGGTAGCAGCAGAAGAGTTGGTGTTGTGAGGAATAGTGACTAACTCCTTCCTCCCTCACACCTCCCAGCCCTGGCCCCAAGGACAGCACTGGGCCAGGCACCCCCAGCAGGGCATCGACCCCTCTGGGTGAGCGGCCGAGTGGAGTCCCAGCACTGGGACCTCTCTGAGGGCAGCAGTCCAGGATGCTTTGGGGGAAGGCAGCAGGGACAGGGGAGGGGGAGCTCACCATGACATAATGTCTCTGCATCTCTGTCTTCTCACTCATCAGCTTCTCACATTCCAACTTCAAGCTGTAAACGGGATCCAGGGTTTCCATTCACGGACCAGCATCACCTGCCCCACCCCTCCAGTCCAATCACATCCTCTGCCCGCAGCTCAGCCCGACCCCCGGCCGCCGCCCCCCCGCGCCCCCCGCCCCACCTGCGGTACTGCGCCTGCAGGAACTGAAATTCCTCCTTGATGCGGTCGCAGATTTCCAGGACCGAGAACTTAAAGGGCTGCCCGGGCTGGAGCGGGGGCTGGGGAGAGACGGCCCGGCTGGAAGCTGCGGCTCCGCCGCGCAGCCCCCGCCCGGCCCGGTCCCGCCGCCCCCACGGCACTTACCGGGTGCCGTCCATGCGGGAACATCCCGAGCGCCCGGGTCCCCGCCCCGGCCCCCTCGCTCCCCGGGCCCTGCTGCCCGCCCGTCTCCCAGCCCCTGCCAGGGGGTCTCCCCTCTCCTGGGCGCCGGCAAGGCGACGGTGCCGCGGAGCTCGGCGGGGCCGGGGGTCGGCGGGGCCCCGAGCGGCGGTCGCGGGATCTCGCTCGCCCCCAGCGGCGCGGGGGCGGCCGCCCGGGCCCCCTTAAGGAGGCGCGTTCCCGCGGGGCTCGGGACAGCGGGGGGGAGCGGAGCGGCACCGGAGCTCTCGCCGCGCCGGCTTCGTGCCCGCGCACCGATGACCGAGACCGAGGGGAACCCGGGAAAGAAGCGAGCCCCGGAGGCGCTGCTCGGGGCCCGAGCGGAACAACTCGAGAGGCGCCCGCCGTCACCGCCGCCCCGGCCCGCGGGGCCCCGCTCGCCTCCCCGGGCCCTTCCCCGCCCCGGGCCCCGCCACGCGCGTGGCTCCCCGCCCGGAACTTCCCTCGCCCTCTTTCCCGGGGCACCCCGGTTCCCCGGGAGCGACGCCGGTCGCTGTCATCGCCCCCTACGCTACGGGTGGACACGGCACCGGCCGCCGGCGGGGCAGCGCAAACGAGCACAGCCCGACAGCGTCCGCCGGGCCAGGGACCGCAGGGGCAGCGGGCCCCGGGGCGCAGCGCCACCAGCTCAGCGCGGGGCTGCCGGGGGTCTCCGGGGCCCAGCCCGCCGTCTGCTCGGGGCGGTCGTGCGGCCCCACCGGGCGGGGTCGGGCCGGAGCATCCCCACCGTGTCCCGGCCCCTCCGCCCGCTCCACCTTAACCAGCCCCCCGGCCCGCGGCGCCGGCGGCCGCGCCTGCCATTGGCTGCCGCTGCGGGAGCGCCAGCCAATCGCCCTGCCCCGCTCCCACATGGGCTCGTGACGGCACGTCCCGGGATGGCCAATAAAAAGTGAGCGCGCAGCTGGAGCCCCGAGGGACGGGTCGCGGGGCACGCTGGGAGCTGTAGTCCGCCATCGGCGGCTCCTGCGCGGCGGCAGCGCGCGAGGCCCGCCCGGTCCGTCCCGCCGCCGCCGCCGTGGGCCCGGGGGGGTCCGGCCCGGCGCTGCCGCTGGGCCCGGCCCGGCGTCACGGGCGGGCGGGGCTTCCGCCGCGGGCAGCCCGGGAGGGTGGACTGCGCGGCCCACGAGGCCTTGCGGCTGCCGCCAGCTGCCACTCAAAGTAACGTGGGGCGGTGGGGCCGCGGCTCGGGCGGGACCGGAGCTACCGCAGCCGCGGGGCTCGGCTGCCCTGCGGAGAGGACGGTCCGCTCTGCCCCGCAGAGTCCCGAGAGCTCCCGGAGGGGAACTCGCCGAGAGTCCCTTCCCTGTCCCCCGCGACCCTCCAGCTGCAGCTGCTGTGCAGTCCCCGCACTCGAGGGCGGTAAAGGCGAGTGAAGAAGCCTTAAATATTGCAGAACCCAGCTGTACCTGGGCACTGCACAGGCAAGCACAAGGTTAAATATTTAATGCTTCGAATTTCATCTTAATCTTTTATTCATTTTGTTATTTACTTGCTCCATGCTGGCGGCAGGGGCAAGGTGGTGGGCACAGGAGGCTCTCCCTCCTCTTGCCTCCATGTCATCCCCTGTTTCCCCTGCCAGGTTGGCCCCAGACTCTGTCAGCCCCAGCACTTGCCCGTTTACCTTCCCTGGCCACAGATGTTCACTGGGTAGGTCCAGTGACACAGGCAGGGATGGACACCAGCCCGCCACTAGCTCCAAAACCCCCTAAAGCCCTCCCTTTTGTGCAGGCACATATATGTCTGTGTGTGTGCATCATATATCTGCACATATGAATATAAATATTTTAATTCAAATGTAAAGTTTTAGAGGTTTTTTTTGTTTGTTGCCTTATTGGGAGAGTTGTGGGGGTTTTATTTAAGGAAAGTGTTTTTCAAAAGCTGGAAACACTTAAGATTGTGTTTCAAGGGAAGGAGAGACTGAGAAGATGCTTTGCACATTTTTCAAAACTCCTCACCAAAAATTGCCAGTTTTCCCTAGGCAGTTTCTCTGCTCTTCTGTCTCGGAGAGTGACACAGGTAAACCTGGAACAGGCAGCTCTGGAGTGATGGATGTCACACACGTCTTGCTCGCCCTCCATTACTGATTGACGTGGGCCCTGGAGCAGCACAGCCTGTAACCCAGAGATTAATTCGCTTCAGCTCCCAGTGCTTGGACTGGGGAGAAATCAACAGCAGTTAACCCTTGGCATCCCCAGGGCTCCAGGAACAGCAGTGAGGGGAACTGGTCCTGCTGCTCCCCCTGGCACAGGGACAAGGTGTGGGGCAGCAGACACGGCCCAGACCCACCACTGCTGAGGATGCTGAGCTGGGGCCCGGCCCCCTCCCGCAGCAGCCACGTGCTCGTGCCTGGTAGTGGCAATGCCTGGAATAGCCCCAAAGGACGAAGGCGTTTGAAATCCAGGCCAGGATCAAGAGGCAAGTGCTGTAAACAGCCCTTCTGTTTATAACCAGCAGAGAAATCAAACCAACCTGGGCTTTGGGCACCCAGGAGCTCCATGTGAATCTGGATCCAAGCAAAACAGGTTGCTGCTGCTGGAATTACCCTAATGATTTTACCTTTTAGCTCCCTCCCCAAATGCCAGCCTGGGGCAGGGGAACACACAGCCTCCTGTCCTTGACAGGAAGGGCAGCACCAGCTCTGTCCCAACTCTGTGCTGTGGGTTGAGCCATTCCTCTCCCCAGGCACAGCCTCCTGCTCCCAGCACATCTCTAGAGTGGATGGTCAAGGGCAGAACCCATCGTGTTTCTCAGAGATGCTGAGGGTGGCCCAGGCTCCCCTGCAGCCACTCATCATTTCCTGTTTTCAGCTCCTCACTTGCATACTTGAATGAGGAGCCTTGAACTCAGCAGGGACAAGTTCATGGCACCCTCAGACAACCTGAATTTCCCAGGCCATGTATACCAGTATCTGGCACAAAGAGGGGCCTCATCCTGGCTGGAGTCTGTCCTAGAATGAAAATGAGATGAGAAGGGAAACTGAGGACAGGACCTGGCATCAAAGCAGTGAGAGCTAAGCCTAAGCTGTACTAGGAATCAAGGTTCTTCAGTGCCCTGATCCATGCTCCCAGGACCAGACCGCAGGTGCCCATCCCCGAGCCCCCAGTACTGGCATTCACCCTCCAAAGCCACATGTCCCCAGAGCCCCTGGGGACAGGCAGGAGCCCAGCTCCCTCCTACCATGCCCAGGCAGGGCCCCTCCTGTGCATCACTCTTCCCTGCAGTCCCTTGTGCCCCCCCTGGTGCCAGGGACACCTTGTCACCCCGGGGGCTGAGGACTGGGGGATACCTGCAAAAAAGAAGTGGGAGCCCTCAGAGCAACCCAGCAGCTGACAGACTCTGGTCTCTGGCACTGGCTTCGATCTGTATGTTGGCTCCTGTTTGCACTTACCAGCTCTGAGTGGTTCTTAATTATTGATGCCTCTTTTAGCTTTTATCTGGTGCTCACTGCAGCCAGAAAGGGCTTGACGTTCCTGCATTAGTGATGAATTGGGAAGGAGGCCTTGCTCCACCACCATTCCTGGCTCGTGGGCTGTGCCACTGCTTCAAGCAAAGCTGTGCTGAAAAATGAGAAAGGCGAGAGCAGGAGTGGGATGTGGCAGAGGAGATTCTGACTCCTACTACTGCCACAGGCAACAGGGGGCTGGGGGATTCTGTCCTCTGGGAAGGACCAGAAGGAGATGGACCCAAACAGGTGTGGAAGCCTCCTTCACCCAATAAAAAACTGGCATCTGCTCATTTCATGGAGAAGGAAGGATGCCAGTTTATGACCCCTCTAGTGACAGGCAGGTGGAAGGGAGGAGATGGGTGACAGCAGAGTTTTGCCAAGCCCCTGGCAGCTGTGAGCAGGAACTGATGTCAAGCCTGGGCTAAATGCTGTGCAGCTGTTTGGTGGTCTCAGGGCATTGAGCACTGCTGGATGGCATCCTGCCCCTGCCCTCGCCAGCTCTCTGTCCACAACAGCAAAGCTTTGTGGGCAGCAGGACAGTGGCTGTCACTGTTGCTCTCTATCTCCCTTTAATGAGCCAGGGCTTTGCTGAGTTTTTCCAAGGACCCTGGTGCCAGCAGAGCTGGTTGTCAGACTGTCGGCCTGTATCCCTCTCCCACTCGTGCATCATGACCTCTTGAACACAAAGAGAAAGGGTTTCTCTGCCAAGAGTGAGAATCAAACCATCCCTGAGCAGCTTTGGAGGCCCTGTGTCAGCTGCACCCCTGCAAGCACTGAGCTGTTCTGCAGGGCAGGAGAGGGGCTTCTGGCTCCAGAGAGGTTACAAGGCAGAGCAGCCTGTTTGGAAGGAGAGAAGCTGTTTCCTCAAGTCTGCAGCTACTGGGAGAGTCATGAGGGAGGTATTTGTAACCCATTTTTTTGCTGTTGGTATTTGTTAAGATTTCCAGATTTTGGTATGCAATTAGATTGGAGCCCAAATCTGGTAAGGTGCCCTATGAAATGATTCCCTGTGGAAATCTGGGGGCAAATGAAGCAGTGGCTAACAGAGCCAGGCTGAAAGCATGGGGAACCACAGCACTGCTCATCAGTGGGATGGGATATCAGGGTGTCCCCCACCACCCAGAGAAACACTTTGGGGAATGAAACATCAGGAGAAGCAGGAGTGGAGCACAAGGTTCAGCTCAACATCTGCTGAGAGGTGCAAGGGATTTGGAAAGCCCAAAAGTTCTGTCTTTATAAAGGGTTAGTCTCCCACAGGGAGCAAGGAGATACCCACAGCCCAGTGTGGAGCAGCTCCCCGGCCTCAGCAGCCTCGTGGTTTGTCCAACCCCCTTGCCAACTGAACCGAGGCCCCTAATTAGCTCTAACAAGAGGGATGTCTGTTCCTGAAAATGGCCCAGACCAATTTCTCCTAAATCCTCCTCCCTTGCCTATCTATCAGGAGTAACATCCACTTATGGTGCTCCCTACCCCCAGGCTGAATTTGAACCACTGACCTCGAGGTGAAAGCACTGGAAAAGCTCCAGCTGCCTCCTGCAGCCACAACTCCTGGCGGATTTTGCAGCACTGACAGAGCAGAGATGGTTTTAGCAACTGTCCATTGCAGCAGCCCCAGCCCAAAGCCTGAAGCTGTGTTGGCCTTTCACATCAGAAACCTGCTTGCTCGGTGTCAGCGAGGCCTCAGATCAGCTGCAGGACCACAGGGCCAGACTGTACTGACTGGCAGCGTTCCAGCAGCTCCCAAGCAGGGCAGGTTGGAATGATCTGCCTGGTGCTGCAGCCCCCCAAGTGCAGTGGGGTCAGACCAGTGCCTGCCACACAGCACCGGCTCTGTTATTCCCAGAGAGGGGATCTGAGCTCTGGATCTGCCCCAGGGCAGCACCAGGAGCATTGAGTGCCCAGTTTGGCAGGGGATAGGGCTGAGACCCCCCCCTCTGCAAGAGCCTGAGCCAGCAGCTGGAGTTCAGTGACCACCTCCAGAGCTGTGCTCCTTCACAGACCCCTGTCCCTTGCAAGCCTGTGCTGGGCACCCTGTCTCAGCCATCCCTGGCTTGGATTAGGCTAATCAGGCATCACAGCCAGATAACAGCCACATTGTCAAGCCCTAGTGCTGCCCACAGGCTCTGTAACTCACCAGCCCCTCTATACCTCAGCACAAAGACCCCACAGCTTCCTTCCCAGGGGAAGGAAATTTTCCCACTCCAGCTGGCCTGAGAGATACCATGGGGAAGATGTTATCAGGGTGGAGCAGGCTCTGGAGCAAGAGGACAGCTCTAATTATCAAGAGCCAATTCCATGACAGCAATCTCAGCCCCAGGGCACTGCAGGCCGGATTTTCCAGAGGGGCCAAGTGCCACAGAAGCAGCTTATCCTCTGTGCCCACAGGAAAAATGAATTATGCACACACAGAGCAGAGTTGTGGCAGCCTACAGGGACCATCACACGTGTTACCAAACCGTGCTGCTCCTGCTCCAAGTACAGAGCTGTTAAGACTTTCAGGGAGTTTTGCCCCAGACCTCCCTGCTTTTCCAGAGAGCCCCCAGTCCCTTCCACCAACCCCTGCTTTCACCCTGCGCTCCAGTTTGTTCTGGCTTTCCCTGGGCATCCTCCTTGCCCTGGCTTCAGCAGACTCCAGCTGTGGCACAACTCTGCAGGGGTGCCTGGGGGAGGGATGGTGTCCCAGGGCGGGATGCAGGCTACAAAGACAGTCCCATTCCACCAGCCCTTTACGAGACAAGAGTGGGAGAGAAGCCACAGCTAGGGGTGTCAGTGTTAACCCTGCTCCTCTTGGCTGACAGAGAAACCTCCAGACAGAGAGCAGTGCATCCAACCAGCAAGGCAGGGAATAGTCTGGGATACGCTACCATCTGGAGGAGGGAGGGCTGCTCCTCCCAGACACCTCCCACAACACACATGGAAACCAAAGCAGAGTCCAAGGTGAACTAGCAAAACTAACTGTTCTCCCCAATTGATTTCCCTGTCTGGAGGAACAGGAGAAGGAGGGAAGTAAAGTCCTACCAAAGGCAGCAAGAAAGTGGCAGCAAGTCACGGTTTTAACCAACCTTCTTATTTCTTTATTTGAAAGGCACAGCTTGTACGTCCTTGATACAGCATTTTCAGTTCCTCTTATTATAGGTCAAGTGATTAAACACAAAAAGCAAAACAAGATCTTTCTAAAGGACTATATACAAACACCAGATTATTTTTTTTTCCATTTTTGTTTTTTAAGAAGACACGCTAGCGCACGGATAAGAACAGAGAAAGCTGCTGTATCCTCTACACAGGGCAGGGGCACAGGGAGGGGGAGGCCAGGGAAGGCTCTGTCTGCCTGCCCCTCTGCCCAGCTGCCTGGGCTCCAAAGCTGAGTGCTGTGCTGAGGGGGAGCAGGTGGCACAGGCTCCCCCTCCAGCCCAGGGCCAAACCCTGGCAGCCGGAGATGGTTAAGAACAGGTACATGCAGAACAGCAAGGCGCCAGCCTGGTATTAGTGCAGGAGGGGTGTGGGGGAGACAGGGCCAGGGCGATGCGACGAGACCAAGAGCGCCTGGGGAGGGAGGAGATTGTTCTGGGCCAGGGATCCCAGCAGGGAGTTGTGCAGAACTTTTAGGATCAAGGGGCAATCTTTAAATACCGAGGGGGGAGCAGCGGGCAGAGGGGAGCCACATGGCACCGAGGAGCTGGGACAGCCAGGGGGGCAAGTGGCCCCAGAGCAGCCCAAGCCAGGCTCTGGCTTGGCTCTATGACAGGGTGGGAGGAGGGACAGGGAAGCCAGGCTGGGCACAGGGAGAGCGTGATCGGCCACATGGTTACTGCTATGGCGCTGGCATTGCTGTGCAGCAGCCTGCCCGTGGGGATGGCGGTGGGGGCATCGCCCAGGCCCTGCTGCCCGTGGGAACGGGCCTGGCAAGCTGCCACCAAACACAAGTCTCCGCAATTCTGCTGCACAGCAACCAGAGAGAGATACTGCATCTTGCATTAACCCACCCCCTCTCCCCAGACGGCCCCCTCCCCCCAGCCCCTCTAATCCGATTTCTCCCCATCATCATCTTGGTGGGCATCCCCGTCATGGCCGTTCTTGTCCTCCTTGGAGAGGTGAGCCTGAGAGCCCAGGGCCGAGAGCGAGAGGAGCCCAGTGCCGGCACTGACAGCAGGGAGGGATGGGGGCTGGAGGCCCACGGGGAGTGGAGTCAGAGGCAGAGCGAGGGCTTGGAGCTGTGACAGCTGGTGAGCTTGAAGCTGCTGCTGTAGAGAATGATGGACAGACAGAAAGACAGAACAGGGATATTGTCATTTTGAGTGCACTTGGACCCCAACCTAAGGACCTGGAATGCCCAAACACACTGTGCCAGAAATCAAGCTTAAACCAGAGACCTCAGGGTTCTGGAGAGCATCGCAGCCTCAGGGCAGGTGGGAAAAGAGATTCTAGAGTCCTGGGGCTGTGACACCTTCAAGAAAAGACTCAGCAGTGTGTCCCTAGCACAACACACAGCCCCTACACCACAGGACATCTGGCATCAGACTCTAGCTTGTTCCAAGGATGTGGTTAAAGCCCTCACAAACTTGACCAAGAGCAGATGGTGTTTTCATGCCAAGGAGCTGCTTCGGTTCCTGCTCAAAACCAAAGCTCCTCTCCTTGCAACCTGCTGAGACAGAGGAGGGATCCCTGCTCCCCTGCAAACCCATGGCCTCGGTCACAGCAAGCCTGGATGGAACCAGCCCTGTTCCAGCACAGCCAGCCCAGCACCTGCAGCCTTGTCCTGCTGCAGCTGCAGCACCGTGCACGGCACAGCCTGCTCCCAGCAGGCCAGATACATCCCCAGGTCACCACTCCATGGCCCAGCTCTGTCTCAAAGGTCAAAGGTACCAACTCCCATCCCTCTGAACCCAAACTAAACATGCATCACGTACACGGATGATGGAGTTCAGTTCTGGTGCCGTAACCTGCTTAGCTCGTTCAATGGCTCCCAGGACTTGCTGCTGATGCTGGTGTGGAGAAAACAGAGGAATTCAGGGTCATTTCCAGTGCCACTGGAAAGCAGAACAGGGGTCTCACACACACGTACGTGCTGCTCACACTGAGGTGTCACGTCAGAGACAGGCTGGTTACCCCCACAGCTGGAGACACCTGCACACACTTCACCCATGACAAGGGCCTCACACTGAGGCCCACGGCAGCAAGGAGCAGGGAAAGAAGCACATTTGTCTCATCCATTTCCTCACCACAGGGTTAAGCAGGTCCCCTTCTACTCCCACCCTCGTCCTGCTCTGCAGAGGCCCAGCAATCTTTGGCCAGAAGGGCTCCAAGGTGGGCATCATCTCTCATCCTGCCGCCCTTCACCTATGCAGACCCTCTAACAAACAAAACGAGCCATAAAAGCAGAAATGCTTGGGAAGCTCCCTAGTCCTTGGGACACATCCCATATCCCAACTGCAGCAGCTGGGTGCTCCAAACACAGGTAGGAAAAATGGCTGTATCATGTACTTAAAAAATATAAAGGACAACTGTACTTTCTCATTGGAGAGCACAAGGTCTCAGCACCAGGCCTGTCCACTGAACTCTAGCAAGGGGATTTTTCTTTCCACTTTGGCAGCAGGACAGGGTAGGG